AATGAAAGTAAAAACGGAATGACGGAGTAATGACGGAGCTTTCGGCATCTGACGCCGCATATTCTCTAAGAGACGACGAGACGAATCTACTTCAACATATGCTGATAACGGTATATAGCTAACTGTTTTCATTTATTGTCTTAATATTTCTCTTGTGGCCCGTAAATAGTGGGAAAAAAATGTTAAGAGACGTATTTCGTGTTAAACAGGTTGTTTTTGAAAGTCGGTGCTTGAAATAAAAGCTTTTTACATTGATTTTTATTGATGACTGAAATGTTAATATTGTAATCATAGGCCTGTAATTCATTGTATAGACCTGTTTTAAAATACCTTTTTTAAAACATTTTAATTGAGGAGTAAATAGCCTAATCTTTTGTTATCCTCGCAGCGCGTCAGTTATGTGGAATAAAAGCTTTTTATTTCATTGATTTTTATTGATGACTGCAGTGTTAATATTTTAATTAGGACTATAATTCAGTGTATAATAGACCTGTTTTAAAATACATTTTTTAAAACATTTTAACTGAGGAGTAAATATACTTGCAGCATGTCAGTTATGTGGTAATTATTGTGGGGCAAATTAATTGTCATTTTAATTTAATAAAAGTAACTGCATAATACTAATAGGCCTAATAAAAATAAGAATGTAACATGCCTACATTAATTGGAAATGCCAAATATTCAATACGAATATGTGTATCGTTACAGCCCTAATGTATGTATATGTATATATTTAATTAAAACCGTTGATGTAATGAAAATATTTATTCATTCATATTATATCATATATATATATATATATATATATAACATCCACAAATTGTGTTCTTTTGAAATAATCATTTCACTTCATTTTTATTTTATTTTTCTTATGATAAACTGATTGGTTTGGACTCTGTTTCAGGTTGCGGTGACCTCTGCGCCCCCATCACTGTCTGTCAGGCCCCGGATGAGTGGATCAATGACACCTCCGTCCCACCAGCAGCCACAGAGTGTCCAGCGGGACGTCAGTACTGTCCATACGCTGAGCGCTGTCTGCCCTTGGCCAGCTCGTGTCATACCGGGGCTTGTGTGAACTGTTCTGGGGTCAGTCCTCTGCCTGCGGGCACACAGTACCCAGATTACAGACTCATCGAGGAGGTGCTGATCTCCCTATCGGCCGGACCGCCATCCAGCATCCGGGTGAGTTTGACTGAATGAAAACCAGACTGGATTTCATCTGAAATCTTAACAGTCAGGAACATACTTTTTATTTAAGAATAAAGAAATTCTAATTTTGTACTCTCAAAAACTGTCAGGAACATGTCTGTATCATCCTGATTTCATGATTTCATTCCAAAATCAAAAGAAAAAAATATTTTATTTTGCGAAAGGCAAATGAAGTCTGTTTTAGGAAAATTAAGATTCTTTTTCCATTGTAACATTATTTTTTAAAATTAAACAATTTTCCCAAAACTCGTATTATTGTAAAATTCTTACTGAACAGTTGTTATTGTAAAGCGAAATTGTTAAAAATTGTTTTGGCTAACTGAAATAAATCTGAAACAAAATATAAATATTATATGAAAAAATTAATCTTAAAAAAACTTTAATTAGAAAAAAACAAAAACAAAAATTAAAATTAGACATGTTGCCTTGAAAACTAACTGAAATAAATTTAAGTACTAAAATAACTTAAAGAAGGAAATAAAGCTAAATATTAGAAATATATTAAAAAAAAGCACACAACAACATTTCAACAACTTAAACCAAAATTAAAAAGAAAACTGAAAATATAAAATTCAAATATTTAAATTCAAAATATTAATAAATACTACAGTAGTATACTAAAATAGCACTGTTTCTCATTACATTAATGTGAATATAGTAATAGGAATATAGTATTTATTCAATTTCATTAATGAAAATGAAAATGTGACTCATTTTTGCAATGCAAATAATCTTCTAAAATACATTCTGATAAAAGGTTTCATTTTCTTTATGCAAAATATAGTTTCTTGTTTTTTTTTTTTTTTTTTCTGTATGAAATATGGATCTTGACGGGTTTTATAAGACTCAACCACTGACTGTCGTAATTCTCTTCTGATATATTTGGATCATAGACCATGCGTCCAGCACGCTTGAGCTTCGGGGTGAAATGCCAGAGCATTGAGCTTTTAATGAGAGGTTGAGTGTGTGTGTGGGCCTGCAGGTCGTCTGCTTCACCCTCCTTCAGTGCGTTCTTTCTAAACGGAGCGTTTGAAGAGTAAATGCGGGGCTGCTCAGAATGTCCTCGAGTGATGTTCAGATCACTGTTAATTATTTCCACTCCCTCTCTGCTGCCTGAAACCAAGTCCTAATAATGACCCTCAGTCTGTCTCATGAAGAGGCACATGACAGTGAGACAAGCTTCTCCTCACAGCTTTCTTTTGGGGCTGTTTTTGTGTGTTTTCTGTGGTATTTGTGGTCTGTTTCGGGGCACAGTGTAATTCCAGAGGTCGGGACCTTATTAAGGGTAATCACTGTCCCCCTCGTGCTCACCGCAGTCAGTGTTGCCATGTGGTCTGGTTTTTGCTCTCAGAAGAATACTTTTTATAAATGATAGGATGTTACTGCAAGAGGTGTTTTGAAATAAAAGATGACTAACAGAAAAAACTAATAAATAAGGGTGGTGTATTTCTTCAGAATAGGATATATATCGCCCTAAAAAGGGTATTTTCAGATATATATTTCTCTTCTTTTAGCTGATGGTTGTTCAACAAATGGCCCGTGTTTGGACTGCTACATTATACAAAACCAATTCAAATATATCGCATATATAGACAAACGTTGAATGTTAGGCTTTCTGAGCATGCAAAACATACATAAAATTCATAGAATGTCAAAGTGAGAATCCGTATTTGGTTGATGAATCGTTTATTTACACTATCGTTCATAAGTTTGGGGTTGGTAAGATTTTATTTTTTGAAAGAAGTCTCTTCTGCTCACCAAGGCTGCATTCATTTGATCAAAAATACATTAAAAACAGTAATATTGGGAAATATTATTACAATTCAAAATAAGGTTTTTTCAATTCTGAATTTTCAGCATCATTACTCCAGTCTTCGGTGTCACATGACCCTTCAGAAATCATTCTAATATGCAGATTTTTTTTTCATTTCTGATTAAAACTAAGTCACTTACTGTCACTTTTGATCAATTTAATGCATCCTTTAAATAAATATCTCAATAAATCTAACTCTAAGCTTTTGAATGGTAGTGTATATAAACCATGCAAAAGAACCAGTTTGAAATGAAGTGATAAATGGCTTATATTTATGTACTGGTTTTGCTAAATGAAGTAAAAAATAAACCACTTTAAATGAAAATGAATCATTTTTAATGCTGCAAGTTAACCATCACAAAGCTGTAATGTACAACATGAAAAATGGATGCATGCTAATGAGTACATTTAAGTTATTATTAGTGTTTTTAGTGAGCATTGGATGACTCAATGTTAATCTAAATGTAAAAGTAGGTCACATTTGCATGCTCCATTAAATACACAAAATAATCATCTGATAACCGATATGGTAACAAGATACTGTGCATTTCTAATTGTCCCAGCTAGTAGGAACAATAAAATGTGACAACAAACAACATACAGCTATATAGCTTTTTCTTTGGAAAATAGCTTGTTACTAGAAAAGCACACATTCAAGCATTTGTTATGCCACACGTTTGTGAGGGTATGAAAATTAAAAACCTTGACGGACAGCTTTGTAATTTGATACAATAGTACAGGTTTCATTGCCTCTCACTCTCTGCCCTGCTCTCACTCAGGTCCAAGAGGACATAGAGGACCTGTTAGTTTCCCCTGGTGACTTCATCGCCCTGCAGCATGACGCCGGACCGTCAGGGCTCCTCCAGTGCTCCTCTGACCCCTCGTCGCCATGGAAACAGAGCGTGCTCATCCAGAACCGCTCCGATTGGTGGGACGTAAACGAGACGCTGCAGTCGGATGCAGAGGGCGGCTGGGAGGAGGGTGTGGTTTGCCAGGTGAGGGTGCTGTACGTGGGGCAGAACAGCACCGTGCTGCAGGGTCCCTTCCTCCGCTCTGGCCTCCCTCAGCTTGGCGACTACACTTTGGAAGTGACATCCAGTGATGAGGATTTTCCTGTCACCGCATCCTGTCCCATCCACGTCGTTCCACCTCTGGGCCCAGCCGTGATCTATCCCACCAATCACAATGGGACGGTGTACTTCCTGCCCAATCAGACATGGATTCTCGTCACGGTCCGCTCGCAGCACGATGCTCTGATTGGCCAGCAAGGCAGCAATGAGACCGTTCCCTTTCACAACGCCTGTCCCGAGAACCTGGTGGCGAAAGTGGCCGAATGCAGGCAGCCCGGCCCGTACAACGACACCATGTTTGCATGGTTTGACCTCCAGCTCGGGTCCACACCAGAACAGACCACCGTGCTGTTTCTTGTCCAGAGCAACGTTACCAAAGCATCTCTACAAATTCAGGCGAGGGTGCAAGAACCTCTCCGGGTGCTCTTAATCAAACCCCATCCTGCTCACAGAGTCCTCATGGAGTCCGTAGTGGTGAGTGACATCCTCACTGCTGAGATAAAACAATTAAACCTGGTAGTGTGCTGGTTTTGGGCTGGTTTTAAATGGTTTCTCAGCCTGACGAGTGCCCAAAACCCATCTAAAACCATCAAAACGGACCACATTAGGCTGGTTTAAACCATTGTTTTAACCTTCTAAACAACTACAAAGGATTGTGTATTTATTGCTAATATTTTAAAAACCATTTAAACCAAGAGGTTTGCTTTTAAATTGGTTTAAATTGGTTTCATAGTCTGACAAGTGCCCATCTAAAACCACCAAAATCCACCACATTAGGCTGGTTTAAACCATTTTTCCAGCGTGACTTTACCTTCTAAATATCTACTATCTAAGGCTAGTGTATTTATTGTTATTACCAGGTGGTTCGCTTTTCTTTTTTTTTGTGCTGGTTTAAACTGGTTTCCCAACTTGACAAGTTCCCAAAACCCATCTACATCCGTTTAAACAGACCACATTACACTGATTTAAACTGGTTTCCCAACCTGACAAGTGCCCAAAACCTTTCTAAAACCATCAAAACAAACCACATTACGCTGGTTTAAACCATTGTTTTAACCTTCTAAACAACTACAAAGGATTGTGTATTTATTGCTAATATTTTAAAAAACATTTAAACCAAGAGGTTTGCTTTTAAACTGGTTTAAACTGGTTTCATAATCTGACAAGTGCCCAAAACCTGTCTAAAACCAGATAACCACCGTAGGCTCTTTTAAACCATTTTCCAGCATGCATTTACCTGATAAACATCTATTGTCCAAGGATAGTGTATTTGTTAATATTTTAAAAACCATTTAAACCAAGAGGTTTGCTTTTAAACTGGTTTAAACTGGTTTCATAATCTGACAAGTGCCCAAAACCTGTCTAAAACCAGATAACCACCGTAGGCTCTTTTAAACCATTTTCCAGCATGCATTTACCTGATAAACATCTATTGTCCAAGGATAGTGTATTTGTTGTAAATACCAGGTGGTTCACTGGTCTTTGTACTGGTTTAAACTGATTTCCTAACCCAACAAGTGCCCAAAACCTATCTAAAACCATCAAAGCAGACAAGCATAATCTCCTTAGGCTGGTTTAAGCAATTTTTTAGCATGAATTTACCTTATAAATGTCCTGGTTTAAAACTTTTAACAGCAGTTTTAATAACTACTTAAACCAGGTGGTTTGCTGACTTGCTGGTTTAAACTGGTTTTCTGGCCTAAAAAGTCCCCAAAGCCTTCTAAAACCTTCAAAACAGACCAGAAAACCACCTTAGGCTGGTTTAAACCTTTTTTCTTTCCAGCACGACTTTACCATCTACTGTCCAAGGATAGAGTATTTTTGCAAATATTCAGGTTTTTGTGCTGGTTATCCAGCCTGATAAACGCCCCAAAACCTGTCTAAAACCATCCAAACAGATCAGATAATCACCATTTAACCATTTCGTCACCATGACCTTACCTTCCTTCTACACATCTACTGTCCAAGGATAGTGTATATATTGCCCATATTTCAAAAACCTGTTTAAACCAGGTGGTTTGATGTCATTTTTTGCTGGTTTAAACTGGTTTCCAAGCCTGAAACCATCAAAGCAGATCAGCCTAACCACCTTAAGCTAGTTTAAGCCATTTTTTCAGCATGCCTTTACCTTTTAAACATCTACTGTCCAAGGATATTGTATTCATATTTTAAAATATTTTATGCTAGTATTTTTCAAACTGCTTAAATCATGTGGTTTGGTAGTTTTAGGCTAGTTTAAACTGGTTTCTAAACAGCCGCTGTTCAAGGATAGAGTATTTATTGCTGATATTTTATGTTGATTAAGATGTCTGTGAGACAGAAGCTGAAGGTTTCACGCTGTTCGTTATCCACCGTGTCGCCTTTGTTATGGCCCTGACCTTCATCTTTAATGGTCTTATTATTTGCTTACCTCTTCTTCTCTCTCTCTTATTTCAGAGTTACATAGCCTCTGTGGAGGGAGGTACGGACCCGTCGTTCAAATGGACAGTGGATGATAAACCATACTTCACGTACTATAACAGCATGTTAAATATCATCTACCAGAACGCAGCAGTGTACAAACTCACGGTGACTGGTTTTCATTGAACTCAGACCAGTTTATGTAAAGGCCTTACTGATTCTATCAGCTTGGCAACTGACCCATCTCTCATTTCTTAGGTAATGGCTATGAACCAGGTTAGCATGCTGACAGAGCACTTCACTGTCACAGTAGACCGCATGAACCCGATGACTGAGCCGATGGTCCACGGAGTCCCCAAAATCGTGCAGCAGGGTTTGTCCCTGAACCTGTCTGCGTCGGTGAAGATAGACATGGCGGTGGATGTCACCTTCTGGTATGTTCTATGACAGTGAAGCTCTGATTGGTCAAATTAAAGATTCAAGTGTAAAGATTCATCAGATTAATTCTAAACACTTTTGCCAGCAAGGTCATTATGAAGGATTATTTACACTTTTTTTTAAATTGCTTTCACAAGCAATTGGTACATTTTCAAAACTCTTAGTACTAATATCACAACAGATCGTCAAAAGTGCACTTTTTTCAAACATTTCAGCATATTTTCAATTTTGTTAGTACGATACACACAAAACACAATCACAAAATATCCTTTTCACTACACAAAATAAGTGTTTAATCTATATAAATGAATCATTCACAGTAACTGCCTTTCATAAAGCTATTACTATCAAACTTTTCATTAGCATGACTTCTCATTCAGTTTAATACATTTGTCTATTATTGAATCTAACTCATCTTAATGGTTAATCAGTGGATCATTTGGTGCATCTATAGATATAGATTCAACAGATATTTAGTTTCTATAGAACGTGATTGCAATTTAGGGATAACCAAATGCACTGAATTATTTTTACACTAAAAGTGATTCATCTAAGATGATAACCACTATTTTGTAAGGGTGTGTGTGTGTGGTTCAGGTAAACCCTATTTTATGGGGACAAAATGTCCCCACAAAGATGGCAATATCCGAAATCATTGTCCATTTTTGGGTCCAATGAGAAAATTTTTTTTTTCGTAAGGGTAGGTTTAGGAATGTCACCATAATGATAGGAAAACCTGTGTGTGTGTGTGTGTGTGTGTGTGTGTGTGTTGTTGTGTGTGCGTGTGTGTGTGTGTGTGTGTGTATGTGCCTACTTACTGTAACCATATTTTGGGGACAAATTGGTACCCAGCATTTTACATTACATTATGCCATGTGATACTGTATATAGAAACATTACCATGGTAAAGACTGCACATTACTATAACTCACCCTTCATCTGAAAAATTCAGCTAGAATATAGATTCAGTCATATGGCACGCAACTACAATGAAATCATGAGATCAGGTTTTGAAAGTATGACTAGTGGTGTTACAAGTGTGATCAGTTTAAAGTTTAGTACTAAGAGTTTTGAAAATGTACACCTTACTTGTGAAAATAGTACCAAACCAATAAAAAAAAAACTGTAATGGACAAATACACTACTATTCAAAAGTTTGGGGTCTGCCAAACCGATTAAAAAAAATGTAATATTAAAAAGGAGCCATTTAAATTAGGGTTGCACAATATTGCACAATACAGGTGCATCTCAATAAATTAGAATGTCGTGGAAAAGTGTTTTCAATTTCATTATATTTTATTTTATTATAATAAAATAATAAGTAATATAATACGTATATGTAATTTATTAACTGTGATACTTTTTTTCAGGATTCTTTGATGAATAGAAAGTTCAAATAACAATATTTATTTGAAATAGAAATCTTTTTGTAACATTATAAATTCACATTTGAACTTGCTGAATAAAAGTAAAAACAAAACAAAAACAAACTTACGATATTACCTAAACTTTTAAACACTAGTTTATTTCTAAATAAATTGTTTTCAGTCAACAGATACATTTTGGAATATTTTTATTATGTTAATTTCATTGTAAAAAAAAATTAAATGAACGTTAGTTGATGGCAAATGTAAATGCATTTACATCATGATGTTTTGAGCATGCACAATTCCACTATCAGCTGACATATATGCCATAAAAAATCTCTAACATCAGCCAATAATAACAATATATCGTATTTATTCCTAATTTAGATATAATACACTTTGTAATGCAGTCTTTTTAAAATGCAGTAATGGAATTAATGCAGTAATTTAATGCCTGTGACTGATATTGTCATAAAAAATTGAGCAATAGTAGCAAATGATAGATTTCATAAAAAAGTCCTAGAATTGGGATGCATTGAGATGAAACACCCAATTACAATATAATCAGTTCCTGATGGGTAAAATCAAGCTCTTTCATTCATCATGGAAGTAAAATGGGTTGCGAATGCTCTCTTTAAATAACTCTCTTCTTGGAGGGTTATGTGGCACACAAACTTTTTCTCTACGGCTTCCACCGCCTCACACACTCCCAGCCTGCTCTCCTTTAATGGCACTTTTCTCTAGATTTACAGTCTGTGGTTAGCACAGAATGCTGACAAGAATTTTCCCTTCAACGCCGAGTATAGAACGATTCCCAAAGTTTCCATTCCATCCCCCAGAAGCCTGCTGCGCGCCACTGCAGATGTCTGCTTTATTTATTTATTTCATGGATTTCTCTATTTATTGTCCAAAAAAAAGTCTGTCAGACGAGTACTGTAGAGCGATTTCTTCCCCGCGCTTTTATCTCGTCTGCTCAGTATCTCCTGAGTTCAGCCCGCCGCTTGTTCAGTCAATCGTGATACCTGATTCTCCTTTGGGTTGCACTTCTATAGAGAAAGTGGGGATAAGATGGAGCGAGAGATGAAGGTGTATCGCTGGGAGCCGAGGCGATGATTCAACAGCAGCTCCACCTCTCCCTCCCGCAGCGATGAGTCAGACGGCAAGATTTGCAAGAAAGAGCTTTTATTCCCTCCAGCTAAAAACATCTTTAAAACAGACCTGCCACCTTGCTTTTACGAATTCCCGAGGCACCAAAAGAGACTCAAAGTTGTCTTTCCCCTCATCCTTTAATCCCCTCTTTTATACTGCAATAAGCTTGTCTTTAAAGCCACCATGAAACCAGAGTTAACTTAATACATGTTTCTGGACTCTTATCATTCAAAAGGGGAAAAAATGACCTGTAATGCAAAAAGGAAGTGACTTATCAAGTTATTTTTCAACTCCTCCCCAACCACTGTCCAGTACCTACTGTTAAAATAAAGTACTCTCTTACATAAGGTTGCCATACATGTTAACTTTAAGACTGCCTAAAAATATTTTCGGTGAGGTCATGGTTTAACATTCCCAGTGACTTGTGCAATTAAAGTCAAGACTCAGTACTTTCCAAGACTATTTAAAAGCATTGTCTACACTGTGAAAAACTGTGAAACCAGTTGTAAAACGATGCATGTAATCAGGCGTGCAGTGAGTGTGAGTTTGTTTTGATGGTTTTTATGTGTCACAGGTGGTGGTTTGGAGATGGAGGGAACCGTACACATCAGATTAAGCCCCCTTACAATAACCCCTCTAGTAACCAGGTGGTGATTCGTGATGATGTGGAATACATTTATGCACAGCCAGGTAAAAAAAAAAATCATATTGATTTTATCCAGATTTTTATTTGTATTGATTATCTACATTGATTTTTTTTTTAACTCATATTTCTTGCAGGGGAGTACACCCTATTGTTCACGGCTTCCAACCGCTATGAGAACAAGACATGCAAAGTCGATGTATACGTCTTTAGCGTTCTGACAAGTGTGCGAATCGAGATTGACCCGCCCCTGCTACGTGCCGAAAAACCAGCTGACTTCGAGGCCCACCCCCTACCGTCTCCCTACGGCATCATCTACACCTGGAACTTTGGTGACAATTCAAGTGTACAGAAGGGGCGTGAACGTAGGGTTCCTCACGCGTACGCTCACAGCGGTGTCTACAATATCTGCGTGAATGTCAACAACACCATTAGCTGGACAGACACCTGCATGGAAGTTATCGTCTATGAGGATGTTAAGGGCTTGGAGGTGATGTCATCTGCTCCCACAGAATGCAACACTCCTACCGTTGTCACGGCAAGTCTGGAAGCAGGCAACAGTGTAACTTGGAGCTTTGACATGGGTGATGGAATGGTGCACATGGTTATGGAACCCAAAGTTGAATATACGTACAGGAAAGATGGAAACTACACTGTAAATGTCACCGCAAAGAATGTTGTGAGCTCTCAATGGGTAACCATACCTGTTGAGGTGTTTGTGCTACAAGTGTTATCGCTAGAACCTCCCGGGTGCATTCTGGAAAACAAAGAGGTACTCTTCCATGCATTTGTGTCAGGGAACGCTTCAGGACATCAGTACGTATGGAGTTTTGGAGATGGAAGCCCCAACGAAACTCAGTATGGAACGCAGATGATAATGCACACATACGTTAAGAGTGGCGAGTACAATCTCTCGCTACTTATGTCAAGTGAAGCCAACAAAGCAAATTTTTTCAGAAGGGTCTGCGTCCAACCTGAACTCACAACAGTGTCTTTGTTTCCTCTGAGAACACACATCAAGTTCGGTGAGGAGAGCAGATTTACAGTAGCTGCCTTCCCAGAATTTAACTACACCTACCTATGGGATTTTGGGGTACTTGACTCGAGAGGTCCTGTTCGAGGTGGTAAGGAGATGGCCTTTACATTCAAGAGTCCTGGGGAATATCTGGTTACGGTTACTGCGCTCAACAACATCTCCTGTATCAACGACACTGTTTTAGTGGTGGTGCAACAATCTGTCAGTTTTTTGCTGATCAGCCATAATGGGGATAAAGAGAACAATCTTTCTTTACACCAAGGCTATGCTTTCAAGGCATCTTCAGACTCTGAGAATGCTGTCTACATCTGGGATTTTGGAGATGGGACTCGACTTAATGGGACAAACTTATCACACGCTTACAATTCCTCGGGCAGGTTTAACATCAGTGTTACAGGCAAGAATGAAATAAGTGAGACCAAAAATGAGATTTCCGTTGTGGTCTTGGCCCCAATCACAGGACTGTCAGTAAATGCTAGCCTTGTTAATGTCCCTTTGAACAGTTCCGTTCACTTTGAGGCACACCTCAAACAAGGAGATGGTGTAAGGTACTCTTGGATTCTTTGTGACCGGTGCACGTCTATCCAAGGCACTCACACCATGTTCTACACGTTTCGCTCCGTTGGGACTTTCAATGTCATCGTTACTGCAGAGAATGACATTGGCACTGTTCAGTCAAGCATTTCCATCTTTGTGCAGCGTGAGTTGGAGGGCTTGCAGATAGTGGCTGATGAGCTTATTGAAGGATGCTGTTTTGCAAGCAACCGTGTCCTTCACTTACAAGCCTCATTAAAAGAGGGCACCAATATGACCTTCAGCTGGAACCTTCTGAGGGAACATGAAAACCATGACTACAACCTCACAGGCAAGACCATAGACCTCAACTTTTCCACCCCTGGTCCTTGTGATGTCGTCCTCAAGGCAACCAACTTGCTTGGCCAGCTGGCTGTGAACAAAACTATTGAGTTTTTGGATCCTGTAAGGGAGCTGGTCCTTAAGATTTCATCAAACCCTGCTGCAGTAAATGCCATGACAAATATGACAGTATTTGCAAGTTTTGGAACAGTGCTTCATTACAAATGGTGGGCAGATGGTGAACTGTTAACATCTGATATGTCCTCAGTCATGCACCGTTTCAGAAGCGCAGGTTTGAAACTGGTTAAAGTGGAGGTTTCCAACAAAGTCAGCTCGGAAGTGGTCTCAAAGTGGATCAGCATTCAAGAACCAATCTCGGGATTGACTTTCATCGCCACAAATGTTACAGAGAACTTTGTAGCTTCAGGGGACAATGTTACTCTGCGTGGAGAAACACGGATGGGATCCAGCATTTCGTGGATGTGGCTATTGCCAGACAACACAAAATCGAACCAGCGCACCACCTCCTACATCTTCCCCAAACCAGGAATTTTCACTGTCGCTTTGAACGCCACTAATGACATGAACAGAGAAACATACTCACATGAGTTTACCGTTCAAGACCGTATCCAGGGTCTGGAGCTCAAGGCCGGCAAACAAATTGCTGCGGTTGGTGAAAACATTGAGTTTACCATCTCTGTCTCATCTGGAACTTCTGTTCATTTCATCCTGAGCATTAGTGGTGATGCAACTGTTGTTCTGACCAATCAAACCTACATCCACCAGTTCACTACTGTGGCCAAGTACTACGTCAACCTTACTGCCTTCAACCAAGTGAGTTCAGAACGAAGGACTCTGCACATTGAAGTCATGGAGCCTGTGACCAAGTTGACTATACTGGACTGCTGTGATGCCGCTATACCTGTCGGTGTACCTAGGGCTTATGTAGCGTGCACACCGACACGTGATCCGCTGACCATTCTGTGGACCTTTGACCTTCATCATGGTCTCAAGATCTCTCGGGTTGGCAAGTCGGTGACATATGCGCCAGAACAGCCAGGCAATCTGACCATATTCCTTAGAGCATTCAATTCTTTAAACGGATTAAATGTGACCAAGGTTATACGAGTTCAGAACATTATCAGGTCAGCCACCTTGGAAGCTCAACCAAGCAACACCTTCATAAACAAGACGGTCAGCTTCCATGTGGGAATCACTCCTGTTTCCACTCCAGCGACATATCAGTGGGACTTTGGGGATGGTACTTCTGCAGCTGTCACAACTACACCTTCTCTTAGTCATATCTACATCCTTCCTGGTCACTATGTGGTGCGAGTTAATGTCAGTAACCTGGTGAGCTGGGTTACAGCAGAGGATAATGTCAACATCTCTGTCCTAAAGTGCGACGAACCAGAAGTTCAGATCATTCAAGCTCCACGACTCGCCATCTGGCGTTACCAGCCAACCTCGGTAGAGGCCAATGTGAATTTAAAAGGTTGTGGTCTCTATGGAGTAGAGTACCTCTGGGAGATCCTCACCTCCCCTCGCTGTCAGGATGATGACAAGAAAGGTCCACCACCGTCTAAGGTCCGTCTCCCCCCAGAAGTCAACGTCCGGAGGCTCCAAATTTCAGTGCCCAAGATGTCGATTTCTGCTGGGAACTACACTCTAGTTTTTTCTCTGTCCTATGAGGGGGTGCCACTACGGAAGGCAGCATGTATTCAACTTTCAGTCATGTCCAAAAAGCTAGTGCCAATCATTGAGGGTGGCACATACCGTGTGTGGTCCAAAACTCAAGATTTGCATTTGAGCGCAGAGCAATCCTACGACCCGAACCTGGACCCAGAGAACCAGTCCCTGCTCAACTACCACTGGGAATGTGTGAGCACCTCAAAGGTAATCATGATTGATGTGTAACAGATATATAAAAATGAATGCTTTTTGATGTCTTAAACTTGCAATAAATGGATCTAGGCCATGATGTCCAATCCTGCTTTGGGAGGGACATCTTCCTGTACGGTTTAGCTCCAGCACATCTGCCTGGAAGTTTCTATTGATCCCTAAGACCTTAGTTAGCTCGTTCATCTGGGTTTAGTTGGGACTGGAGCTAAACTCTGCTGGAAATCGTCCCTCCACGATCAGGATTGGACATCCCTGATTTAAGCTGTAAAATAGCAATAGATTTAAGAACTAATGTTGGTGCTTAGATGCTTCTAATATGTGAAGCACCTTGTTGTGTATGACTGTTCATTCAATACTCAAGTGTCTTAAGCTGAATAATCCAATTCGAGAGTTTTTTTCCCCTGGAAATGATCAGTGGATGAAAAAGTAAAATAAACATTGTGGTTGAGAGAGGGTTTGAGAGTTTGAGTAATTGGCATTTAAACAATGAACAATCAAGTGCTTTTGTTCACTGAGCTCATAGGCATATTTGAGAGCTTAAAGCTCTTAACAGATATGTGAATGTGTGAATTTGAGAGTTAATTCACACATAGTTGAGTATGTGAGGGACATCTAGTATCAAAGGCTAAACTTTACACACAGCAGCTCAGAAAGATAAAATATGTGAAGTATGTGCCACAAACGTGGATGTTTGGGTGGTGTGTACTTGAGATCAGTTACATAACGAGCAGCGGATAAACTCAGCATTCCTTAGAGTTCTGCCAGCCTTTCAGAATCACTGCCGGAGGGGAGCCAGAGATTCCTGCTTTTTATTAAAACATTTTGTCACTGACAGAAATTCAAAGGAATATTGTTTTAAGTAGAATGAAATATTTCAAGCTCCACTGGCACCAAAAAATAACACTTTAGCCACATAAAAAATGTATGAATGTCATTGCATTAGATAAAATAAAATTAAAAAACAGGTGGCATTTACTTTAAAGGAAACGTAAGCACACTTTAAGCAAAATGTGTCTCAAAATAAAACATTTTAGGTTCTAAATGATAATGCAGTAGATTTATTGTCCAAAATGAAGACGGAAAGTACACTTTGTGGGTGTCAAACGTGAATTCGGAATGCACAGTCATGGTCAGTGATTAAAATGCTATTAGAAAACTCATTAGGTAAAGTCATTAAACAACAAAGGTACCAAAACTTGTTTGATGATTATGCTCTTGTCTTGTATATCCTGAGGCAGGTAAATGAGTTGATTAATTGCCATCTGCAGTGATTCTGTCGTTTAACTTCACCCTGCAGGGCCCAGCTCACTGCTCCACTTTGCATTTCGGGTTGGGTCCGAGCGACCCGGTTCTGGGAATCTCTGGTTCTGAACTGGAGGTAGATGTTGAGTATACCTTTCGCCTGACCGTCAGCAAAGAAGGCATGACCCCAGAGTCCACAAACCAAATGGTGAGTGCTCTTATTGATTACTGCCAGCTTTTCATACCTAATATGCTGCATGTACAAATACAGATGTTTTATATTCCAAAATACATCTCATCACATTTTAACTTTTTTTTATTTTTAATCGTTTAAAATAAAATGCTGGATTTTTTTGTGCATGAAACCTGCATTTTATTCAACAACTACCTGCAGTCCAGAAGCATCTTCAAAGTGCACTGAATAGAGCTGTGTCATATTTTAATGAAGTCATTGTCACTCTTTTCAGTGCAAACATGCCTCTTTTCTATGTAAATCAGGCTCATTATAGAATACTAATTATCCACAATAAAAAACTCAGGCCATTTTGAATGGCGCAATTAATGTCACGCTGTTGCCATCCCATGGAAAGCTGGAGGTAAACAGATTTTAATCAAAAAAGAAATATTTGTTTACAGTTTCTAGCGATCATGACCACAGTGAATAATCAAATGATGAACAAAAGCACATCCTTGACCATCTCATTACTCAAAACCGGCCTGCGAGATGTGAAATCTTGCCTTTTTCTGGGGTGTATTTGTGCTTTTACCTGATATGCATACCTTCAACAGAGAAGTGTGAGCTAAAACAATGCAGCGCATGTAAATGAGCAAAATTATGAGTGGTTGATATTCATTGTTAGCGTTTCCCGCCTTTTTGTTTTGTTCTACAGTATTCAGATTCATTGCTATCATCATTACAAAATGTTCATTCGTATTTAGCGTACTCTGGATTTGGCTATAATTAACTGACCCGAATGGGTAAAACGAAGGTTCATTACGTAAATCAAAACATAATTTACATTCTGACCTTCACATTATTAAGCTATATGTGAAAGCCTGATATATGTGAGTTTTGAATGAGAATGTATATGAAACTCATTTCACTCACTGAACTGAAACTTTGACGGATGCTAAAGGGAATATTTCATGAGATTTAACTTTGAAGGTCTGATTGCTTCGAGGACCATGATGAAACCAATTTGTGATGTCTTATGACCCCTACAATTCTTTTATTTCCTCACAAATTCATTATTCCTGTGTCACATTCACAACAGGAATGGGAAATTCGCCAGTCTCAGTGCTAACATTGTTAATATCTGAATCAGTTCAAAGAATGAGAGATTTTGAAATTAATTAATTAGAGAAATTAATCAGTTTCCATCAATTGCCATGTCAGTTTCCATGGTCAACAGAAAACATAATTGCATAATTTAAAGGGCTAGTTCACCCCACAAATGAAAATTCTGTCATTAATTACTAACCCTCATGTCGTTCCAAACATGTAAGACCTTCTTTCATCTTCAGAACACAAATTAAGACATTTTTGCAACACAACTACCACGTTCAAGGCCCATTTTAACGATGTCCTTACTACCTTTCTGGGCCTTCAACATTTCAGTTACACTGCCGTCTATGCAGGGTCAGAAAGCTCTCAGATTTCATCAAAAATATCTTAATTTGTGTTCCGAAGTGTCTTGCGGGTTTGGAACGGCATGAGGGTGAGTAATTAATGACAGCATTTTAATTTTTTGGGTGAACTAGCCCTTTAAAGTTTGTTGTTCTGTCTCTTCTCCTTGTCACAGGTGTGGGTGCAAAGCGGTCGCATCCCGATGGTGTCTCTGGAGTGCGTGTCGTGCAAAGCTCAGTCTCGCTACGAGATCAGTCAGAGCTCTTATGTGTACCTGGCTGGCACCTGCAATAACTGTCACAGCTCACACAGAGGGGTGAGAACAAGCACAATCACAGGGTTACTATTAAACCACTGTTGCCTACAGGGAAGTACGAAATGCAAACATAATTACTTTTCGAGCAGGTTTTCACAATACTCCCTGCTGTTTCGGGTGGGTTGGGATGCTCAAGTAGATCTCTTAAAGTCCCCATGAAATCAAAATTAACGTTTTTTTGGGTGTTAGTATCAATATGTTAGTCTTAAGGTTATCTATAAGGCAGTGTGCTCCAAAACAGTGACAAAATTCGCATTTAGAAGATATAAGCATTCAAAGCTTGCAGTTCGTCACTTCCGCCAAAATGGCTCAACGATTTTTTTTGACGTCACATCGTACTTCAGCTTCTCATCAAACTTTCTGTCCAATCAAATGCTCTCTAGAATCCGAAGCGCCCGTAAAATAATAAAATAGACGCTGAAGCCGCGGCTGAAATCGGTCACTTGTCCACAGAATTAGTATTTTCTGTACAGTGAATGGCACGTAGTGCACTATATAGGGGACAGGGAACGATTTAAACAGTGTAAATATGCTTTCCATTGAGGAAAAAAAGAAGTCTGGTTTGGCGCTGTGTCACGCTAACCACCGCACCGCGCACACACTCTGCTCCGGTCCAGAGACACGATAGCATGGAGCGGATCACATGCGCGAGTCGGCACAGACCACAAAATGTATCGGAGCTATTTGAATTCTACACAGAATGTTATATTTTATAGCAATATGGATGAGATTGTGGCTGGCATACCCTGTCAAATGCGGCTTTACGGAGCTCAACGGCTCTGAACGGCTCTAGCCCAAGCTGTGATATAAACGAACGCTATTGGCTATTTTAAAAAGGGGCGGGGCTGCTTGATATGTCCCGCCCTGTCTTCCTGTTTCAGTTAAAATGACGTCAACACATAGAGTAACACTGCGTGTTTCTAAGCATTTCAGGGGACCTTTAAGGACATCATAGAATCAAAATTGGACTTTCCATATCTATTAGTTTTTTGGCCGGTGAAAGGCACGGCATTTTAATTTCTTTATGTTTTAGCTTTACAAAAAGCATGGAAAGCATGATATAATTTGTCCCTAGGATTAATACTGTCCTCATAGAATCTGAATGTTGGGAATGACATATTTGGATTTTTGGATTATATTTGGAGTCACTCGTGCCTTATTTATTAGAGGAAACATATCGTCATAATTTATCGAAGAGCGCTGTGCATGGAGAGATAGCGGCATGATGTCTTTCTAGAACGCTTTCTCTTTTTTCGCAGGCATTCCTCTTGCTTTTTTCCGACCTGCTTTCTCATAATGTTTAGACTGAGATTCGAGTGATGTTATGGTTATGGGAACCGGAGGGAGGGGAGACCTGAGTGGGCGTACCGGGTGATGTCATCATTATGATGTGATGTGTTCCACTGCATTAGCCGTTAACGGCATGCCAAACCTCGTTAAACACGCACAGACATTTGCTTGGTGACCGAGCGGTCAAACACTCCTTCCCCTCGGTCTGGTTCCCATGAGCCATGAGACTGTAAATATTAGGGTACAATTCAGGGACGCTTATCTAGTGCTGCAAACACTCGGGTCTGAGATGAGTGCTGATTCGGATTGATGGTGATGGAGGTCACTGCAAGGTTACTGAAAAACCAGCCTGGAGCTCATTAAAAAATAACATCATTTGAAATAATACTATAAAAAATAAAACATAATTTTAATATTAAAATGAGAATACAAAAAATACATAGCACTTTTAAATAATTATATAATATATAAAATGCAATTATACATCTATTACTGATTTTAATACAATCATTTATTAAATTATATAATATTAATTAGATTTGTTAATTAATTTAATAATCTGCTCTATTAAATAAATGCATGAAAGTAAATACAGTGGGTACGGAAAGTATTCAGACCCCCTTAAATTTTTCACTCTTTGTTATATTGCAGCCATTTGCTAAAATCATTTAAGTTAATTTTTTTTCCTCATTAATGTACACACAGCACCCCATATTGACAGAAAAACACATAATTGTTGGAGGAAAAAAAATTAACTTAAATTATTTTAGCAAATGGCTGCAATATAACAAAGAGTGAAAAATGTAAGGGGGTCTGAATACTTTCCGTACCCACTGTACATAAAAGTGGCATGGAAATACAAAACCATTCCTAAAGCTGTGAAATTTTTTGTAACTACATAAAGATTTATATGCATTTAAAATAAGTTTTTATTGAGAGAGAGAGAGAGAGAATCATATAAATATTAATATAAAATTTATTTATACTTATATAACAGTGTAGTTGTATTCTAATAATTTTTATTATTAATAAAGAGAATTATTCAGTTAATATAATACATTTAATTGTAACTATTACATTTATTTAATAATTAACTTTATTATAAAGAAATTTCTCATTTTAAAGTGATGTATTTATTTAATTAAGTTTAAATAATAATATGGAAATGACTTGGAAATTTGTCTGTTGTTGTTGTTAGCGGTGGACGGCAATGACCGGAGGGAACGAGACGCTGGTGCTGGATCTGAACACCACCACCACGGGCAGCGACAGCATGAACCTGGTCCTGCGACAGGGTATACTCCGCGACGGAAACTCCTACATATTCAGCCTCCACGTGACCGATGACAGCATGGACCGCGAGGGCGTGGCCTACATCGAGCTCCACCCCAACCTGCCTCCAGCCGGCGGGACGTGTTCTCTGTGGGCGGATGGCGACGGGCCTCAGGTGTGCACGCTGCTGGAGAGAGTGCACTTCAACTGCTCAGGTGAGACTGGAGAAGAAGGACTGCATGTAGGTCGCCGAGAAAGAGCAGGTGCTGAACTACACTGTGAAAAAAATTCCGTACAATTTACGGTAAAAAACTGGCAGCTGTGGTTGCCAGAATTCGACTGTAAAAAAATACTGTAGCAACATTTTAGGGTTTACGGATTTAACTTAAATTTACAATAAAAAATCGCATTTCATTAATTAACAACCTATTGAAGTTCTGAAATCTGTTTTGTACCTTTGTAATACACTGGTAACCATCAAAATCAGGTGGTGATGAGGAAGTCACATGAAGAAGTTCATCACAAGCACTAAGTTCAGTTAAAATTACAAATTTTTTCTAAGTCAACCTACTGCAGTATTTCCTCTCTCAATCAGTAGAAAATGCGGTTAACACCTGATAATGCATGAAAAGAAATACCATCATATACCGTGAAACTGGTATCATTTAGAAAAATACAGTGATATACATTTTTGGTCATGCCGCCCAGCACTATGCTGAACAGTCGCGTCTGGTTTTCAGGTTACACTGATATGGACGAGGCCGAGTCTCCGCTGGTGTATAGTCTGCTGGCGGTGCGCTGCTCCGGGCTGTACTGCGAGGAGTTCTGTGTGTATAAAGGCACGAGTCCAGAACATTCGGCCTTCCTGCCACCCGGCTTCAGCTCGGCCCAGTTCCAGGTGACTGTGATTGTCATGGTGGAGGACCACCAGGGGGCCACAGTCATGGCCCGCAACAAGTAAGACACGGTTTGGCATGAAGACTTCCCGTGTTCTGTTCTTTTCTGGCAGTGCTGTGAATGGTTTGTGATGTGTGTCAGGTCGATGGAGGTGGTGCTGCCGGCGGTTCCTGACGGATTCAGCTGTCTCCCTCACTGGCTCAGCAATCTGACCGACTCCACCCTGAGAGAGCTGCTCCGTCAGGGAGACTCACAGAGAGTACGGGAGCTCTCGCTCGCCCTCATCACCGTCCTCAATGAGGTGAGACCCGCCATCCACCTCTATCTATCCATCTATCCATCTATCCATCTATCCATCCATCCATCCATCTCTGTCCTTCTTTCTCTATCCAACTATCTATTCATCTATCTATCCATCCATCTCTATCCATCCATCTATCCATATTAATCTATCTATCTATCCATCTATCCATCCATCCATCCATCCATCCATCAGTCTCTGTCCTTCTTTCTCTATCTATTAATCTATCTATCATCCATCTATCCATATTAATCTATCTATCTATCCATCTATCCATCCATCCATCCATCCATCCATCAGTCTCTGTCCTTCTTTCTCTATCTATTAATCTATCTATCATCCATCTATCCATATTAATCTATCTATCTATCCATCTATCCATCCATCCATCCATCCATCCATCAGTCTCTGTCCTTCTTTCTCTATCTATTAATCTATCTATCATCCATCTATCCATATTAATCTATCTATCTATCCATCTATCCATCCATCCATCCATCCATCCATCAGTCTCTGTCCTTCTTTCTCTATCTATTAATCTATCTATCATCCATCTATCCATATTAATCTATCTATCTATCCATCTATCCATCCATCCATCCATCCATCCATCAGTCTCTGTCCTTCTTTCTCTATCTATTAATCTATCTATCATCCATCTATCCATATTAATCTATCTATCTATCCATCTATCTATCCATCCATCCATCCATCCATTCATCTCTGTCCTTCTTTCTCTATCTATCCAACTATCTATTCATCTATCTATCCATCAATCTCTATCCATCCATCCATCCATCCATCAGTCTCTGTCCTTCTTTCTCTATCTATTAATCTATCTATCCATCCATCTATCCATATTAATCCATCTATCCATCCATCCATCAGTCTCTGTCCTTCTTTCTCTATCTATCCAACTATCTATTCATCTATCTATCCATCCATCTATCCATATTAATCTATCTATCTATCTATCTATCTATCTATCTATCATTTATGCGTCCATCGTGTCTTTCTCCATCTGCTCATCACGTGGTGTGTTTCTGTGTGTCAGTATGAGCAGGGTGTTTCCCGCAGACGTGAGCGTGTGTCTAAGGCAGAGCGTCAGTATCGTGTGAGCGTCAGAGGAAACATCACCAGAGCGCTGACGTCACTGGACCTCACCACCGTCAGTGACATCCAGCAGACATCAGCAGCGCTCGCGCAGTGCACGGTGAGACGAGACGCACTCACATGCCTCACATCAGCTGAATCCTGAAGCACTTCAAAAGACATAAAAGTGAATAAAATCTGTCTCGTATGTGTTTGTTTGCAGGCTGTGAGTCGAGAGTTTGTGTGTGAAGAGTGTCAGAACAGCACTCTGGACAAACTAGAGTCGATGTTAGAGATCCTGCAGACAGACACCAAACAGGGCACAGTCACCCCGACCGAGATAGCAGACAACATCCTTAATATCATGGGTAACACACACACACACACACACACACACACACACACACACACACACACACACACACACACACACCAGTGAGAGGTAAACACAATCATCCATTTCATGGCTAATTGGCTATGTTATGCTAACACAGTCACAAACAAACAAACAACCCCAGAGGCAACAAGCTGTTACTGTTCACTTGTTTACATGTTTTCATTTTTCTCTTTTCTGACTGAGGGTCTTTGCACACTGAGTCTGAAATTTTCGTATGCAGTTTTTCGTATTCGTCATCCTTTCCTATCAAAATGCTTGCTACGGATGCGAAAACGCAAAAAATCGAACCTAATCCAAAATTTTTTATGACGGGCAAAAGTTTCGGAGGCAGTGTGTAAATGTGATTGACACAATGTGAGGTCGTATTTATTTTTTAATGTGCGAAATTTTCAGATGGAAATTTCGGACTCAGTGTGCAATGACCTTAAATCTTATCTGAACCTAATTTACGTATGAAATTGCTGTCAAATAATTTAGTTTAATTAATTCTAAAGAAAATACAATAAAATATTTCTCAGTAAAATGCCCCTAACCTGTATGAATTATTAATAATTTAATTTAATAACTGTTTTTAAATTACCTTTCTGTTTAAAAGATCTACATATTTCTATTTTTCTGAAGAATATTTTAAATTTTAATTCATAAAATAAAATATATATCATTATTATTTATATAGCATCATCTGCTCAATTATTTACTCATCTGCCATAAAATTTATTTGATTCATCTTCATTTTGGGGCTTTTATTTAAATAACCCCTCTGTTTAAAATATTTGTATATTTCTATTTTAATATTAAATATTACTCAATTAAATTTTTTTATTATTCATTTTAATTCATAAAAATTATATTATATTATATTATATTTTAAGTCATATAATTATATATATATAATATGGCTTATCTGCCACAAAAATAGTTTTAATTTATCTTTATTTGATTTATCTTCATTTTAAGGTTTTTCTCAGTAGTGTGTTTAATTGAAATGAATTAGATTGATTTATTGACAGGTATATTTTTCTTTGAATGTCTTTGATTTGTCTCCATTGTGAGGCTTTTATTTTTAAAATTACCTTTCTTTTTAAAAGATTTGTATATCTTGTCTCAGTCTTGTAGCACTTATATCACTCCTCTTTTCTGGTCTTTCGTGGAGCCTTTTATCCTGTTCCTGCTGGTTTTCAGTATTCATCCAGTCAGTAAATCAGACCTCCACACTGTCTCCTCCCTCAGGTGACCTGATCCACCAGGTGAGCCAGGCTGCCTCCTCTCCTCCTCTGGAGGCCGAGGACCGCGACGGCCTCTCCCAGCCGCCTCCGCTTCTCTTAGAGGAGCAGCAGCATCACCCGCTGCGGGTGGCCGCTAAAGCCTACACCCTGTCCTCCGTCCTCATGCGAATCCTCATGCTGGGCCGTGTCCTGAACGAGGAGCCGCTGATCCTCCGCGGGGCAGAGATCGACGCCGCCGGCAAACGAGACGAACCTCAGAGCCTGCTCTGCTACGGCGAGAGCGACGCGGCCGAGTGCCGGCGTTTCTCCATCCCGCGAGCCTTCAACAGCAGTCTGGGACGGGCAGCAGGGGGTGCTCTGGCGCCCAGCAGCGAGGACGGCATCGTGCAGCTGCTGTTCCAAGTGGAGCCCAATCCGTTTCCGTTCAACTACGTCGCCAATTACACCGTGTCGACAGAGGTGGCGTCCATGGAGTTTCGCACGGTGAACGGCACGCAGATTCCCATCTCGGATCTGGACGACAGCCATGCCATAACGGTTGCTGTTAATAACGGGAGTGTGGCTGGGCTGGACGGGAACGGATTGGAGGCCGTCTTGCCGCCAGCGGGAGCCGAGAACATCAGCCGCTGCGGTTCAATCATCGTGAGGGTGAGCACGAGGAACACCAACAGACAAGCGGGAATCTACGTCCAGCTCAACTTCACCGTACTAGACGGTAAGACGCCCAACACAAGGGGGAGCCACTGAGAATAAGAAACTCGTTCAACAACAATCACAAACTGTGGCAAAAACATTAAAATCTAATGACCAATTTACACTGTATGAGAAAAAAGCATATGTGTCATATAAAGGTAATGCTTTGTTTCTGCAATTAAATAATTGCCTTGAATATGGTCATTGTACTTAAGAAAGGTGTTAAAATATTGTCTGAAAATATCACTTTGTAAATAATAAATATGTAAATTAAAAAAGAAAAAAATATATAAATAATAAAAAGAAAAAAATATACAGTATATATATTATTTTATTATAAGATTATTTATCTGTGATTAGCACTTCCATGATAAAAAAAATTTTCCACCAAATTATAGATTTACAGTGGTGGCCAAAATTGTTAGAACACCTGACAGATCTGAAAATATTGACCTTTTTTTGCCTCCAAAACATGAATCCATTTCATAATGTTCATGATTGAACACTGCTCTGAGCACAACAAATATCAGATGAAGTGAGTCGTACTGTTTTTATCCTCTTTTAACTTTAATATTTGGTGTGTCCACCTTTTGCAGCAATTACAGCAGCGCATCTCTCTGGCACAGTGTCAATATATTTCCTGAGAACTTCAACACTAATGTTATCCCATGCCTTCCGCAACTCAAGCCAAAGGCTTTCCTTTGAATGTACAATAGATCTGTCCAATTTATTTTCCAACTCACCCCAAATTTGCTCAATGGGGTTGAGGTCCGGACTTTGAGGGGCCCAGTCCATAATTGGCAAAACCTCTTAAATATGCCAAGTGTTCTAACAATTTTGGCCACCACTGTATATTTTCTTCCTGTTAAAAACTTGTGCTATAAAAAATAATAACAATTAATCTCATGTTATCTGATCAGTATTTAGAAAGCTGAATGAGAAAATATCATCAAATTGTGAAATGTCCAATAATAAATAAATTAATAAACAAACATATTTCATGATATTTGATTAATAAAGGACATTAACTTGGCATAGTGTTATTATATGTTATTATATTATATATATATATATATATATATATATATATATATTATAGTGGTTTTTAATATTTTAAATGAGCTTTTATAAAAAAAAAATATTATACTTTATGTATATGCTTTTGTAATTTTTTGTTAGGCTTTTGTTTTTAAAAATAGTTCTGTTTAGCTTGAAATTATTTTTTTTTTTCAGTTTAGTAACTTTAGTGTTTCACTTTTAGTAATTTTTGTTTAAGTTTTCACCTAATAATTATCTATTTTAATTCTAGCTTTATTACAGGAACCCCTCCAGGTTCATTTTAGTTTAGTCAAACAAACCAACTAGTCAACTAATTGGAACAATTACTAGTTATTACAGCACATGGTCAGTGTAATGTATGTATAGTAATGTATTGTAAAGGTCAGCTTTATTTCTTCCCGTCGGAGGGGAAATAGCATTTTCAGGGAAATTCATCCTCCTTTTGAGTGTTTCTTGTTTTGATTTATGTCTTAACACCTATTTCTTTTCATCCCTGTGTCCTCAGATTCTCCAGAGAAGTGGGAATTGGATCCATTCATCACAGCCTATCTGCACACCTCCGAATGGCCCAATGAATACAACAGCACTGACAGGAAACGCATCACGCTCAATATGACGCGGGGGCGGGACCTGGACCACCGACTCTACACTTTCTTCCTGTCTCCAAAGTAAGGCTCTTGCTAATGTTTTGATGTTTCTCACTGCTGTATATGGCTGAATAATATTGGAAGTGCATGTTGATGTTAGGCCATTCATCTTTAATAAATGATGCATTCAGAAGCGGGCGGCTCTTTTGTTTGTTAAAATCAACATCAGCCGCCACAGGAGAACCTGCTGAGTGACTTGTTCATCAGTATCAGCAGTGAAGATGAGTGTTTCACAAAACACAAAGAGAGCGGCTCATCCTGTCCGATATAAAACTCTAAATTATTTATTTTGTAAATTATGGTTTTGATTTTCAGCCAATAAAATAAAAGCATTTGCGATTCCGCACCACTAATACACACAAATGAGCTTTTTCTTCTAATTTCTGATTTGTGTTCTCCATCAGGTCCTATGACACCACGCGTGATCACTTCATAAACGTGACCGTGGGCTGCGGCGCTGGCGATCCGGATCTGATCCGGTTCGAGGTGGCCGTCTTCACCTCGCTGTGTCAGTATTTCAGCGAAAGTGCCAATCAGTGGCGGACGGACGGCATGGATCCGCTTCCCGAGACCAGCGTGGGCCGAGCCGTGTGTCGCACGCATCATCTCACTGCTTTTGCCGCCAGCCTGTTTGTTCCCGTCGACGCTGTCTCCTTCATCATTCCTGTGAGCATTACAACTCAACTCAGAGGACATTTGCTTTTTCAGAATACTATTAATAATATTTTTTCAAATTAAAGGGTTAGTTCACCCAAAAATGAAAATTAGCCTGTGTTTTACTCACCCTCAAAGCATCCTAGGTGTATGTGACTTTCTTCTTTCAGACGAATCCAATCGGAGTTATATTAAAAATTGTCCTGGCCCCTCCAAGCCTTTCAATGGGGGTAAGCGGGTGCTTTTTGTAAACAGTCCAGAAGACGTGAAATAAAGACATAGGCCAGAACGGCTTCCGCGTATGACAGTCAGCGGAAGTGAGAAAAAAAGTGTTTATTATGTTTGAAATATGGATATTTTACTTACAAAAATGCAAGGATTCGCTACAGGAGGCCTTTACTCACACCCTGGAGTGTCTCAGTTGCCTACTGTGAGGAACGAAGAAACGAGGGATTTCACACTGAACAGTGTTTAATAATCCACAGGAGGAAACACAGGGTAGCCAGGAGACACACGTAGTACAATGACGTTAAGAATCGACAAACACAGACTGGGGCTAAATACACAGGATAATTGGGAAGACACAGGTGTACGTGATGACTAATTAAACTAAACGAGGACAGGAACACTGGTCTGACGGGTTCAGCTCTACATCCGGGGCGATCCTCTGCTCAGTCGCTCGGCTTTTGCTCCAGCAGGAGGAGGAGAAATTCCGGGCGAAGGAGGGCATCCATGAGGGAACAACGGAAAACAAAACACTGAGCGAAAACGGGAAACATAAAAACGGAGGGTATACACATGGAGGTTACTGTTTGTAGTCAATTCTTCTGTCACGGTTGCCTACTGCGAGGAACGAGGAATTTCACACTGAACAGTCTTTAATAATCCACAGGAGGAAACACAGGGTAGCCAGGAGACACACGTAGTACAATGACGTTAAGAATCGACAAACACAGACTGGGGCTAAATACACAGGATAATTGGGAAGACACAGGTGTACGGGATGACTAATTAAACTAAACGAGGACAGGAACAAGACCAAATAAGGGAACACTAGAACAGAAACAGGGGCAAAACAGAACATAGGCAGTCCAGAATCCTGACACGGAGCCGTGTGAGGGACGTTTTATTACGGATACACGCACTTTATTTCACGTCTTCTGAACTGTTGACAACCAACACGCACTTACCCCCATTGAAAGGCTTGGAGGGGCCAGGACAATTTTTTATATAACTCCGATTGGATTCGTCTGAAAGAAGAACCATTTAACCTTAATTCTGTCCAGACGTAGTAGTAATGATTCTTTAAAATAGCTTAAAATACACTAGTCAAAATTTGAAGTGGATTAAAACCTAAATGCATTCTTGTCTTAGGACAACTTTGATCAACTTTTTTTTAACCACTTCAAATGTTGACTACTATATATATGATTATTCTGTTATTTTATATGTATCTTATTTTAAATTAACATTTATCTTTATATTATACTATTTTAGTAGTAAAGATTCTTTACATTTTTTGTATTTCTTTTTTTCTGAAGTTTAATAAATACAAAATGTTATTTAAATTGTTTTAATCTATATTGTTATATTATATTATAATTTTAAAAAAGAATTAAAGTTATATAAATTAGTAATTTTTTTTGTATTTTCAAACTTTTTTTTTTTAATCAGATTATTTTTATGTTTTAATCTGAAGTTTAATATATATAAAATGTTATTAATTTTATATAGTTTAATTTAAATTTTTCAAAACTCAAAAATTATATTATATTATATTATATTATATTATATTATATTATATTATAGTTTAGGAGGTATGGTCTGATGGGATAGTGATAAAGCAGTGTCATCTGTCAGGAGCGTTCGGTGACTCGTAGTCTGGTGGTGGTGCTGGTGTGTGTGATCGGACTGCTGTGTTACGCCGTGGCCGGCGCTATAATGCGCAAGCTGGATCAGATGGACCTGAGACGGGCCTCTGTGGTGCCGTTGTGTGGGAAGGACGGGCTGTACAAGTACGAGATCCAGGTCAAGACCGGCTGGGCTTACGGAGCAGGTGAGATGCGGATGTTTCGCAGATCATCAGTAGGTTAGGAAAGTCTGACCGTCCACTTAGACTGAAAGAGACCATCCGATCGACATTTTAAAGAGACTAGTTCTGCCTCACTGTATCCAGGTGTCTGTGAAGGTGCCAGAATTTACGGCCAAAAAAGGGCAGTTGTCTGTTATCAATAGTGTAGATATGTGAAGCACAGTGAACACAATGAATTCACGTCACCAACTTTAACATGAGTGAAATTTGTGTGTGGTTAAAATTGCATAGATTCCTAGATAAATTCCTAAATAATACTATTAGTTGTTTTTTTAATATATATTTTCAATTAGTTTTTATTTTTGTATTTTCCATTTTTAATTTTAGTTAAAGTTTTAGCTATTTTGTTGTGTGTTTTTGTCATTTTCAAATTTGTCTATTTAGTTTTAGTTCATTTTTATTTCCGGTTTAGTTTTACTTATTTTACTATACCATATTATAGAGCACATAAATGAGAAACGTTGCTTTGGCCTCTAACTCAAATAAGTTTTAGGTTTTTTTCTTCTTCAGTTAATGTTCATTTTATGTCAAGTAACATTTTTTAAATGTTATGTGTTATTTTAGTATCATGAAAATACTATTATAGTTTTATTTTTATATATATAATTTGAATTAGTTTTTATTTTTGTATTTTACATTTCGTTTCAATTTTAGATCAAGTATTAGTGTTGTGTTTTTGTCCTTTTTTTAATATGTCTATATCACTTTTTATTTATTTTGTAATTTTTATTTATTTTTGTTATTTTGGTACATGAAGTTAAACTATATTAAAATGAGAAATCTTGCTTTGGCCACTAACTGAAATAATTAAAAATAGTTTTTTAATGTTTTAGTTTATTTAAGTTGCCTTTATTTCAAGTAAGAAAAATGTTTTTTTTTTTATGGTTTTGGTTTTAGTTCACTATAATAACCCTGGTGGTGTCTGAGGCTTGTTTGTTTACATCAGATCAGTTACCCACAGACTGTCAGGTTTATGCATTCGAGCGATGAATATTCCTCACTGAGTGACTGGCAGTTGTCTGGAGTGAGCTGGCTGGAGCCTGAGCTCTTTATTCCCGCTGCAGGAACCACGGCTCACGTCGGCATCAGTCTTCACGGCAGTGAGAGCCGCAGTGGACACAGACACCTGGACAGCATCGGCGCGTTCGCTCGAAACAGCCTGGACATCTTCCACGTGGCCTCCGACAGCAGCCTGGGCAGCGTGCTGAAGATCCGCGTGTGGCACGACAACAAAGGTACTGAACAGATCGGCCTTGAACAAAACAAGCAGTGTGGAGTCAGGATAAACCACTCTCTCTCTGTCTGTCTGTCTGTCTGTCAGGTCTGTCTCCTGCATGGCTGCTCCAGTACGTCCTGGTGAAGGACCTGCAGACGGCCAGCACTTATTTCTTCCTGGTTGAGGAATGGCTCTCGGTCGACAACGAGAAAACAGACGGCAGAGTCGAGATAGAGGTGGAAGCCTCAGGTAAAGCCCCGCCTCCACAGATGCAACACCTGTTGTGATTGGTTGGAGCTGGAATTAGATTCGTAAGATCATGAATATTCAGAAAATGAATAAGGGTAAGAACCAATCATAATGCTCTAAGAAGTGGAAATCAAGTCCTTTAAATATTCTGTTTGCTCATAATGTTCGTGAATATTAACAGTAATGCGTTGCTCCTAATAAGAAGTTACATTACATTGTTAGTTTTAGTGGACAGTAAACCTAATGCAGGCCCTCCATAATGAAAAACTAACTGTATTCACCTAAAATACAGGATAGAGTTAGGTGCATTTCATTGACAAAACAACTTTGTTCCTGTTTTTGTTACTAAATTAGGCTAAATGAGAACTAAATTGGAACAAAATTTAAATTGGGTGTGTATGTGTATATATATATGAATGTGTATAAATAGATATGTATTTATAATAAAATGAATGTAAAATATAAAAACATATTATGTAAAGTATTTATTTATATTAATATATAGAAAATAGTATAAAAGAAGAAATGTTAAATACAATATTAAATATTTTTATAATAACATTTTAATATTAAATAACCATCACATATGGATATTAGGGTGTGTGTGTGTGTGTGTATATATATATACTTTTTTTAACATTAAAAATTTATGAAAAAATTATATTAAAATAAAAAAAAATGGTAATATGTTAACTCAAATTAAAATGGAAATGTAAAATACAAAAATAAAAACTATATGTATGAAATGTAATAAAATGAATGTAAATATATAAATATTTAAAAAAATTATTATATATTAA